GCATGAGCAATAGATCATTAAAAATAAAAAAAAAAGTGTCATTTTCCAGAAATTTGTCGCAAAAAATAAAATGTTCCATGGACTCAACATTCCTTGGGGTATCTTTTTTCCAAAAAAGGGTCATTTTGTACTTCCCTGGCATTTTAGCACCTCAAGAAATGTGATAGGCAGTCAAAGTAAAAGCTGCATAAATTCCATAATATATATATGGGCAGCACAGTGGCTAAATGGTTAGCACTTCCGCCTGACAGTACTAGGGTCATTGGTTCAAATCTCAGCCACGGCACCTCCTGCCTGGAGTTTGCATGTTCTCCCTGTGCCTGCGTGGGTTTCCTCTGGGTACTCCGGTTTCCTCCAACACTCCAAAGTCATGTTGGTAGGTTAATTTGATCCTGTCTAAATTGGCCCTTGTAAATGAATGTGAGTTAGGGACCTTAGATTGTACGCTCCTTGGTGTTAGGGACTGATGTGAACGTACACTATATATGTAAAGCACTGCGTAAATTGACAGCGCTATACAAGTACCTGAAATAAAAATAAATATATACACACACATATATACACACCATAGTTTGTAGATGCTATAACTTTCACTCAAACCAATTAATATACATGTATTGGGAGGCCAAAGGCATGTAACAGACTACATTTTGGACTGATGGGTGGCACTGATGGGCACAGGTGGGTGGCACTGCTGGGCGGCACTGCTGGGCGTAACTGGTGGGTGGCACTGCTGGGCACCAATCATCAGGGCACTGATCATCAGTGCCGATCCCCGCTCTGACAACTGCCGGTTCTCGGCAGTACTTTCCCCACGTTCTGACAGCGTGAGGAAAGTGCAGCCGAGATCCGACAATTGCATTTCCCTGTGATCAGCGTGTCACTGGACACGGCTGATCACGTGGTAAAAAGCCACTGTGATTGGCCTTTTACCACATCACGTGATCAGCTGTGTCCGTAGGACACAGCGATCACAGAGATCGCCAGGTGCGTACCCCCAGAGAGCGTTCTGTGAGTCATATGACACCCTCCCAGAACTGGCTGGCCGCAGTGTAGACGTCGTTCGGCTATCTGAAGTCGGCAACTGGTTAAGGGGGGTAAATGTTCCAGAGGGCAAGTGGTTAACTAAGCATTAGGTTATCCTCCATAGGGGCATTCAGCCAGACACTGCTCTGAAGGGGAGATAGTACTAGAGAATAACAGCATACACACCTATCTCTGAAAAGGCAGCATTGTCATAACAACATAAGAGCGCAGATTCAGATTCTTTTGCATAGCAATTCCAAAATAATTATTTAAGTAAACTGTCATCTGGACATACAGGGGTTGATTTACTAAAGCCAAAATATACTTTGCACTACAAGTGCAGCTGCTCTAGATCTGAGGGGGAAGTTCTAATGATTTCTATCATCCAATCATGTGTAAGCAAAAATGCTGTGTTTTTTTGTTTTGGTTTTTTAACTTTCCTTGCATGTGAATGGGTATTTTCAAAGTAAAGCTTTACCTCATTTACTAAGCTCTGGGGCATTGCAGTGCACACTATACAGTATTTGCCTTTAGTAAATCAACCACACCGTATCTTTAGATGTCTGATTAAAGTATAACTAAAGGCAAAACATTTTTTTTTTTGTTTTGGACAGAGTAGAGATGGATTAGAACCCATCAGTTTTTATTGCGGTTTGTGTCCCCATTAGGGAGAATCACCCTCTGTATTTAAAAATACAAAAAATAGTGCAGCGCTAACAACCTATACTAAAATACAAATGAGATAAATGGAAATATCACATATAGAATGCACAATAAATATTCAGTGTTAGGTGCTCATAAAATGAATACTATGTGCAGCAGTCCATAAATGCCAATGATGGTGAAAAATCACAGCAAAACTCCGTGAGGTGATCACAGTGCCACTCAGTGTGCGGTCAATCCACAGATGGCCAAGATGTCCCCTCACCTCCTTGATGCGACCCACTGGGCCAAACAGCCTCTGAGGAAGTCACGTGGATCGTGACGTAAACGCGTTAAGGTACGCACGGACATCATTTCCGGTGGCGTGGTGACGTCATTTCCGGCGTCGGCGCCATTTCTGGAGGGATTGTGGAGCAAGTGGAGCTGCATGCATTTCTTAGCATGAGAACCATGGAAACACACCCATGATATGGTAAAAAGCTGATCTTTGTCATTTTACATGTGAGTGGGCATTTTATTTATATTCATGTTATTATTAAAACTGGATTACACTATGGAGGATCTTTGTTTTTAATGGTATCTTAAATGGTTTTGTGGAATCGAGTACCTAGGAGATAGGAGAAGATAATGGAGGGATCTATCCATACGTTCCACCTACATAGCTGTTTGGCCCAGTGAGTCGCATCAAGGAGGTGAAGGGCCATCTTGGCCATCTGTGGATTGACCGCACACTGAGTGGCACTGTGATCACCTCACGGAGTTTTGCTGTGATTTTTCACCATCATTGGCATTTATGGACTGCTGCACATAGTATTCATTTTATGAGCACCTAACACTGAATATTTATTGTGCATTCTATATGTGATATTTCAATTTATCTCATTTGTATTTTAGTATAGGTTGTTAGCGCTGCACTATTTTTTGTATTTTTATGTTCTTTCCTTGTGGTTGAGGCGAGTGTGTGCGCTGCTTATTAATAGGTGTTCCATTGAGCGCAGGAGTTTTTTTCATCACCCTCTCTATTTGTCCTGTTTACCATTATCATCGAAAGTGAAAGTAAAAAATCCCAAATTTTGGGTTGTCCCCAGAAAAGTAATAGAGGAGACATTTTCCAGTAGGGATACTAGTTCTGGTGACTTGGGACTCCCCAAGGAAATTCCTTAATTTGCAGAGATTTTCTCACTTCCTGTTTTGGCTATGGGACAGGAAGTGAAGGTAAATCTCACCATGAGACACAGATAGCAAAAAATAACCCTCCCTTACTCTATCCAAAACGAAAAAAATTGCCTATAGTTCTACATTAAAGTGATACTAAAGGTTCGCTATTTCTTTTTTTAAATAACAAATATATGATACTTACCTGCTCTGTGCAGTGGTTTTGCACAGAGCAGCCCACGTCCCCCGATCCTCCTCGCCTCGGGTCCCCTGCCAGCAGTACTTCCCCCTGAGCAGTGCCTCTATAGTAAGCAATTTGCTATGGGGGCACTGGTGCATGCTCGTCCCAGTCCCCTGCTCTCTATGTCCATAAGACACAGCAGAGCGGGACTCGGCCCAGCCCCCTCCTCACAGGCTGTGATTGACAGCAGCAGGAGCCAAATGTCTCCAACTGCTGTGTCTCAGCCAATGAGGAGGGAGGGACCCGGGAAAGCCAAGTCCCTTGTGCATATCACTGGACTGAGATCGGGCTCAGCTGAGTATTAGGGGGGGCCGCTGCACACAGGTTTTTTTACCTTCATGCATACAGTGCATGAAGGTAAAAAACCTTAAGCCTTTCCAACTACTTTAATTGCCCTAAATGTAGAGGATACAAACCTCATCATCAGCATCAAACTCTCCCACCTTTTTTCACATCTACAACCTCACTTTTAATAAATGAGGCTCCCAAAAGCACTAATGGAGCTAGAGGGGATAGAGAGTCATCTGTTCCCCTGGGACTCTCTGTGGGCCAAAGGCATACTAATACCTTAAAGGAAACCTGTCGTGATAGAAACATGGAGGGCACTACTGCTGACCTTTCTTCTAGGAAATGCTAGTTGCCTGGTTGTTATGCTGACCCAAAAGACACACAGACCCAAACAAGTTGATTTACTAAACTTGGAGAGTGCAAAATCTTGAGCAGCTCTGCATAAAAACCAATCAGCTTCCAGGTTTTTTTTTTTTAAAGCTTAATTGCTTAACCCCTAGATGCCGACCGTATGCAAATATTCGGACTCTCGGCGTCTCAGCCTTGACACCGAGCGGCCGCATATTTGCATACCATTTGAAAACACATGTGCTGAGAGCGCGCGCCCTGCGCTTCCAGCACATGTTGGTGTCTCACGGAAAGTTCCTGATCTCCCCTTGCGACTAGGACATTTTCTGATCATGTGACCACCATGACAGCGATTCACGACAGTCACATGACCCTAAACTCCCGGCGTCTGAAACCCCTTAAAGGGCCTGGAGGCACCATCGTGAAGAGGTTAAAGCTGAAGTTAAAAGCTACTGGAGGTGATCTATTTAAAGACTGATATTATCTGCTTCATCTCCTCTTCTTGCTGGCGGTCTCGATGGAAAGGTGTGACAGGCTTATTGGATATAGAAGTCTAGTAAGTTATTAATCTTCCCACGCGAGGTGGAACACTGTTTGGACTATGGAAAATGCACTAATTCGTGATCCCTTTGAACACAGTGCTAGGGAACTTTTCTGATTTGTTGCATGGCCTTTTTCAATTATTTGGACTGTATTTTATGTATTAATTGTTGCTTGCAGATTCGTTGACATTTTTAACTTTACTTATGAGGTTTACATTGTTATCACTTACTTTTGGAGTACTGCCTATCTCTAACTGCTGATTTACTAATGCACAGGAGGCACTAGATTTTGTACTCCCCAGTTTTAGTAAATCAACCCTTTAGAGTCTAAATATGAACTAAGCTAAAACAATTAGAAACGTCTAACTTTCTGGATCTATTCAATAGCCCAAAGCATTAAAGCCAGAGGGTCAGGATAACAGCCAGACAACTAACATTTTTCAGAACAAGGTCAGCAGAGACAGCCATCATAATTCTATTATTACAGGTATACTTTAAACATTATGGTACTTTTCTTAGAATGCAGAGAATAATGCCAACAGTATGAAAACCAATAAACACACTGCTAAGAAATGTTCAATATAAAATTATTATTTGAAGGAAACACTGGTTGTAATAGCATGCTGCGCATACATTATTATTCTCAATGTGCTCAGTTGACACAACACATTTTACGCTGACAAGGAAAATATACATAAGGCAAACAAATATAAAAAGACTCTGTGGTTGGAATATTGCTAGAAGAGTGGAGCCATCTGTCGTGGGTCATCAGGCAGAATGCTGACGGAGTCTTCTGCTCTCCCACACAGCATACACAGCATAGTGTACTCCTGAAATCACAGACACAAGAAACAGACACTGGTAAGAGCAAAGCTATCAACAATCCGACACTTTTATGGAGCTTCGGTGTTCATATTGGAAAAATACAGAGAAATACAGGAATGCTATCAAGACTAGCAGGCATAAAATATTTCACTTCATTATAGTTTATGTGAAGTCTGTTATTAACAAGCACACTCTCCCTTCATATGTACTACTGTGTATTTGAAAAGATATTTTAAATTGTAAAAAAAAAAAAAAAAATTTACCCTAAAAACGATTTTTATCTAGCAGTCTTATGAACACTAGAAATACAATCCCTCTCCTGTAGGGTGGGAAAAGGAATCCAGTCCTATGGTGCAGATAGAACAGTGTTGCTGCATTCCATACATTGTTCCCTGAGCACTGCTTGGGGGGGGTTCAGCCAGGCTGACTATGAAGCTAAAGGCACGCTGTGTCAGTGTACAGTGTTCTGTAAGTGTGATTAGAATATAAATCAATGCAAACTGACCATGTTGGCACAGATCTGCTTCAGCACTAACATGGTCAGAAACTTACAGCAGAGCAAGGGGACTGGCAGGAACACCAGGACCTAAGTGTACATTTTATTTTGTGTACAAATAAAAGGAACTACTATGTGGATTATAAGGGACAGATGAATGGGGTCTCAAAGTTTTATTGCTAATGTGGCTCTAAACCTAAACCTAACCTAAAAGGTTTTTTGTTACCTTAATACATCCTATGCATCAACGTAAAAACCTTTCTGTGTCACAGAAACCCCAATCCCCCCCCACACCCTCCTCACACTTACAGGAGCACAATCTCGATCCAGCGCTGTGCATGAGAGCTGCAGCTCTCTCAGCTCTGTGCCTCCTTATAGGGCAAATTGATAGCAGTGGGAGCCAATCTGTGACAAGGCAGTGGGAGACTAGGCAGAGTTGTCCTATCTGTGTCTCGGGAGTGAGCCATGGGGGGCACGCACAGAAGAGGAGGTGCCAGGACCCGACAAGAGGAGGATGGGGGCAGTTCTGTGCAAAACGATTACACAGAGCAGACAAGTATAACTTGTTAAAAAAGTTTAACCATTAGCCGCCTGGCCAATGGCCGTTTGGCGGCCGCAAAAGCGCTGTAGCTTTCCGGGTGCACGCCATTTGGCGTGCTCCCGCACATGCGCAGTTCGCGCGGTTGCAGAGCCACGCAGCGGCGCAATCTGTCACCAGCCGTGTACCTCGGACACGGCCGATGACAGATCTGAGTACCGGCCCCCGTTGCTGGTACCATGTGACCTGCTGTGACCAATCAAAGCAGGTCACATGACAGTTGTATACAATGGATGGCTTCATTCTTGCCATCCATTGTATACTAGTGCCTAGCTGTGAATGGTCACAGCTAATCACATGCACATGTCATGTGATTAGCTGTGACCAAATCACTGCTAAGCACAAAAAAAAAAAAAAACCTGAATGAATCGATTTCATTCAGGTAACTGCTTGCTTATAGCAAATAATTCTTTGCTGCTATAAGCAAATTGTGTAAAAAAAAAAAAAAAAAAAAATACTGATCACTTCCCCAAAGTAGTACAATGTTACTATGGTAACATTGTACTACTTTGGTCATAGTAAAAGAAGAAAAAAAAAAAAATGTAATAAAAAATTAAAAAATAAAAAAAAAAAAAAAAAAAATATATATATATATATATATATATATATATATATATATATATATATATATATATTTTTTTTTTTTTTTTTTTTCATACTGTCACCAGTCAGTGTCCCTGTTCACCGCCATGCCAGTTATATGGTAACGCTGTACTGCACTGGTGACAGTATGTAACAAAAAAATAGTGAAAATAATTTTTTTCATTTTCCGAAAAATTATGACAAAAAAAATACAACTTCAAAAAACTCGCCATTCCTCTTATGAAGTACGTCGGACTGTCTATTCTGCAAAAAGGGGTCGTTTGTGGGATATCTGTACTGTTGACATTCTTGGACCTCAAGAAATTAGATTGGCTGTCAGTACTTCAGGATTGATCAATATTCAGATCTATACCATAGTTTGTGAACTCTATAACTTTCCTACAAACTAAATAATACATCCTAATTTGAGTTATTTTCACCAAAGACATGTAGCAGAATACATCTCGGCCTAAATTTATGAAGAACAATTATTTATTTGTAAACTTTTATAACAGAAACAAAGAAAAATGTGTTTTTTTAATTTTTGGTCTTTTTTTGTTAATTTAGCAAAAAATAAACACCCCAGCGGTGATTAAATACCACCAAAAGAAAGCTCTAGTTGTGTGAAGAAAATGATAAAATTTTAGTTTGGGTACAATGTTGTATGACCGCGCAATTGTTATTCAAAGTGTGAGAGCGCTGAAACCTGAAAAAATAGCCTGGGCAGGAAGGTGTAAAATTGCCCGGTATTGAAATGGTTAATATGACTTTAAGGGTTACATTCACTTTAAAGATTCTGGGACTTGCTTTTTTGTTTTAGGACATGACAAAACAAGTAAACAACTATGTGTTTCGTAACATATAATAAAGCAAGCCTATTGGGAAAATTCAAAGTGTTACTTACTATGAATAGCAGGCACTCACAGGTATCTACATGCTGCATTTGATTAATTTCATAACACCACCCACGGGGGGGGGGGGGGGGGGGGGGGGCGGGAGGGAAGACTACCAACTTGCTTCTGTCTGCTCCCAACTCATGCACGGCACTACTGGCCCAACGCTCTGGTATTCAGCCTCCAGTAACCAACAGTGTAACAGATGGAAGGGGATAGAGCTAGAGACAGTAGTTGGTAAGCTGGTCTCAATAGTACGGTGGTTCTATGAAGATAATTAGATGTAGTGTGCAGGAATGTGGAGGTGCGGGATTGCCACTGAGGACACCTTTATCTGTGTAAGACCCCTTTGTGCAGTAAAGCAGCATAGAATTAGATCATGGAAGCAAGGTACATAAAGGCAGGGTAGTGCTTTATTGGGATCACAAGCAAGATTCCTGTTTTTACCCAATTTTTGGATGTGTACCGAGGAGCATCTGGTACAAAAGTTCATCTCACTTAAAAGGACTTTTTGAAGCATTTACTGGTTAAGAACATCAAATACAGCCAACTCGTTTCAGGGGGAAAAAAAAAAAAAGTCTTCTTCAGGGCTTGAGCAGCCTATGTATATTGATAAAATCACAATAAAAACGCACCTGTACTAAGGCTTGATGAAGACTAGTGGCTTCTGATGGTGTATTTAAACCAGTGGGAACAAAAGAATTAAACCTAGAAGAACCAACTGGTATAAAAGAACAAGTTTCTAGACTCTACACTTAGCTGCAGTAACTTTTTTATTATGCTGTAAACCTTGTACTAATTTGTGCCAGTGGCAAATGTGTGGAATCTGCTGCCAACATACCCTGACCAGTGTTGGCGCTGCGGAGGGGACGTCAGCACTGCGGCAGGGACGTCAGCACTATGCTCCATATGTTGGACCTGCCCCCAGATTGAACTGTTCTTGGAGACCATCTCTTTCAGTTGTGTTTCCGTATCCCTAGGAGGGATCACCCAATGACCCCACAATTAGCTCTGCTCTCAATACTACTGGGCACTCCACTGGTAGATAAAAGGTGGCTGTACGCTTTCTCCTCTCCACAGCACAAAATCTAATATCCAGCCATTGAAATTCTTCAGTCGTTCTAACTATTCCAACGAAGGAATGGGTAGCTAAACGTAACCATTTAATGACAATAGAAAACCTGACTGAGTCTACAACAATGATATTCCTAATTCACAGCAGTCTGGTATATGGGGTTGGACAAAAAAAAAAAAAAAAAATGGAAACATGATTTGCAGGTGTGAAAGTGACGGCATGTTTCGTGTGGAACTGATGTAACACTCTTTTGCGTCGCTGTGTGATGAGACACTTAGCTAACAGGTGGGAAGCCTCACTTTTGTCATACAGAGCTTACTGAGCTTCAAACAGAGCAAAATGTTGGTGCCTGCTTAGATAGTGCCTCTGACTGAAGTTGCCAATTTATGTGCTGTGTCGTGAGGTACAATATCAATGAGTTATGACGGCATATACAGCTTCCGGGAAAACATTTCTGGTAAGCATAAGCGTGGTCCACATGGTCAACTGACTGAAAGAGAAAAAGGGACAATGTGTGACCCGTAATAATAAAACAACTGCTGCAAATGCGGCTGCAGAGCTCAGTCTCAGTTTTCATGGGACTGTCATGTAGTGTTTCCATTTTGTTGTCTAACCCTTGTACCTGGATTGAATTCTTGAATTCTGACACTCTAAGATCTTTTCTATGAATCTAAACATAGGGGTGACACACACACATTTGGACAAATGTTGGATATAGAAGGCATTGAAGTCCTTGGCCAAGAGGGACCCCCAGCCCCCTTAATTTTTTTCTGTCTTCTGTTACGGAGCCTATCCTTTCTCTATTCCATAGCCTTGAATGACCCTTCTTATCTTTCTTTTTGCGAGTTGTTCTTAGAATTCAGAAAGCACTGGCATGCATGCTGTATAAACATTTTATGTTTGCCAAAGCACTTTGCATGGGACTGTATTAGTACTATTATCCTTGGGTCACGGTCTCATCGACTAGAATGGAATACTGGATGGGTCTTAGTGAGGCAATATTGTATTTGGATGTGTCTGTATTTTCTCATGTGCTCTCCAAGTGTATGCCTAAAAAAGCAGTTCAATAAAAAAAAAGAATTTTTTTTAAAACAAAAATGTGAAATCTTGCAAAGAGATGTCACCTCACCCCTTTTCAGTTCAGCATCACCTGCAGACCTGTGTACTCCATATTTCCCTATGGAGACGATGCAAAACACATCTCCCCAGTGGATTACCTCTAGAAAGAAATTAGCTAGGCTAACAAGTTGCTTCAGAGATGAGAGGGGTAGACCTGGAGAACCACTAAGAGAACAAAAAACGTGGGGTCTTGTGAGCTACTATGGTGTAAACAAGGTATTCTTATAATATTAAAATCAATATTGTGAATAATGCTAATGCAAAATAGATATAAAGCAATAATATAGTGAATAAAGAAAAATAATAAAAATAAGCGGGTCGCCTACACTCTACACATACTCAAACCAATGTATCATAGTGAACAAAATTCAAAATTAGAATTGCGCTCTAATAAATTGCAATAAGAAATGATATTAAATGAAATAAAATGCAGTCCAACATCACATTAAAAGTGACAATGCAATCGCGCTTCTGCTGCATAAATGTCCTTATTAATCCATGAATTTGCCATGACTTCTAGTGATGTGATACGAAATAATTTGTGTGCAGTCCGCCAATCATAAAAATAGTGTACACCTACACCGGTTGTGCTCTCACCTGGCATATATGACCAAACCATTAAGTGAGGTCATAAAAGGCTTATGTCCCTTTAATCGGACTTGGGGATGGATGGATGGGATTATCCCGCTTCCCAGTAAGGGGTCTAATTGCTTACTTAGGACTCTTCCTAAGAGGGGCTCTGACATCACGACGCTTAAAGGCAACACACAGCAAGTATACTGCAGTTTTCAAAAACACTGTGTATTCACTTTTCAACATTTTAACCTGTAATACATGTGAGTGCACTACTTTATTTAATAACCAATTTAAAAAGAAGATAAGGCATTATATTCTTTATTACTCTTTATGGCACTTATACCTATGGAGGAAGAGTCCTAAGGAAGCAAGAAGACCCCTTATTAGGAAGAGGGATAATCCCATCCATCCATCCCCAAGTCCGATTAAAGGGACACAAGCCTTTTATGATCTCACTTAATGGTTTGGTCATATATTCCAGGTGAGAGCACAACCGGTGAAGGTGTACACTATTTTTATGATTGGTGGACTGCACACAAATTATTTCACTTCTAGTAATTTCAATTATTTCACATCACTAGAAGGAATGTCAAAGTCACAGATTAATTAAGGACATTAATGCAGCAGAAGCGCGATTGCATTCTCACTTTTAATTTGGTGTTGGACTGCATTTTATTTCATTCACAATTTGATATAATTTCTTATTGCAATTGCTAGTGGAGCGCGACACTCATTTTGATTTTAGTTCACTAAGAGAACAAATCATGCCCAGACACAAGTGTTCCCCAAACTTCTCCATGTCCACAAATGAAATATAAAATTCTATTCTTCAATCTTTGGAGCAAAGAACTTCCATGTACCATCTACATACAGTGCATATATTTAGCCTGTAGCATCCAACTCTGTATTATGCATCTTTCTGTCCCCCTGGGTCCGATCTTAGCCATGACAGCCAACTATAGAGCCCAGAGATTGTCATTACCCCGTCTACACTAGTGACGGCAGCAGCCAGGCAGTAGGAAGAGAAAAGACGATTAAACTATAGAGTACATGTGTGCCTTCAGTTGCCTCACTTTTTTCCTCTTTAGATGCCAAACCTCACCATATAAAAGCTGGAATTCGGACTTTTGGGAAACACCTAAAGCACTTGGCATAGAGAGGGATAGATATTTGGATGCACAACAATGACATGTAAACTTAGATCCTAAAAAGCAAAGACCACATTTTTACTGTAATCTCAGAAAAAATCATCTGTTAGCCAGGAACATTCTTCCTAACCGATACACCTTGCCCCCTTCGTCCCTAACCCCTGCTGCAATATGCGGACATCCACTGACACGATTTCCTTATCTTTCAAAATTAGGCTTGGTGTGTTTTCACCGTGGATGAATGGTTAGTGTCTTGCTTTACAGCTTCAGATCCATGCTTCAAATTCTAGCAGAAAACAGTATCTGAATAATGTTTGTGGAGTTGATAAGAATGTGGCAGGTACTGGATTGTAAGCACTTTTCAAGGTAAAAAGACTGACTCAATGTGTTAGGTCATGTCTGCACTAGGAAATAAATAATGGATGACAATTAACCAAGAAAATACACTGTACCTGATATTCATCCACCACACTGAAGGTGTACTCATGCTTTGCAATTACATGGTGACAATTTTTACACACATCTGAAAAACAAAACATTTTTAAATTGTCAGTCAACAATTAGGGTAAATATTAAAGATTCACCTTTTTAGAACAGGTTATATGTTACACCCATAGTTAAGGTATAACATGTTCCAGCATCCCCCCCCAACTGCTTGCTGCCATGTAGTTTCATTGATGCTTTATTTCTGGAGCTCTGGCTTTCATACAATGAAGGATCCTGTTTACTCACCTTTTTTTCTCCCATTGCACATATACAAAACACCTTTTGTAATCTGGAAGGGGGAGGGGGTGAAGATTTACTAAGAATGGAGCAGACAGAATTCAGAGCAGCTATGCATGGCCTGGCAATGCATGGTAACCAATCTCAGCTTCTACCTATCCTTTTCAAAGCTGCAGATAGAAGCTGATTGGGTACTGTGCACAGATGCTCTAGGTTCTGTCGGCTCCAGTTTTAATAAATTCCCCCCCAGGTGTTCTGTGAATGGACCAGGGTAGAGAAGTGGTGGGTAAATGATGGAGCAGCTTCTGTGTACAACAGTATAGTGCTACCTGTACTTTCTGACATCAATACAACTAGGATTTTGGAATTGAACAACAGCAATCTAGACCTATCATTACCATCATTAGAGCTAGTAACTTACTTGTACGAGCACAAACAAAAATATTTTCCCCTGCAGTTCCAATTTAACATAGGACGTCTAACCTGCAGCCTTCCAGTTTATATGGTTATAGTGTCACGAACAACACATGCCCACGGTGACTAGCTAATCGGGGGCGCGGTCCGTGACTTGGGGTAAGAGGGAATGAGGGGCACTTACTTGGAGCATATACGGTCAGGTCCATAAATATTGGGACATCGACACAATTCTAACATTTTTGGCTCCATACACCACCACAATGGATTTGAAATGAAATGAACAAGATGTGCTTTAACTGCAGACTGTCAGCTTTAATTTGAGGGTATTTACATCCACATCAGGTGAACGGTGTAGGAATTACAGCAGTTTGCATATGTGCCTCCCACTTGTTAAGGGACCAAAAGTAATGGGACAGAATAATAATCATAAATCAAACTTTCACTTTTTAATACTTGGTTGCAAATCCTTTGCAGTCAATTACAGCCTGAAGTCTGGAACGCATAGACATCACCAGACGCTGGGTTTCATCCCTGGTGATGCTCTGCCAGGCGATGATTTTTATTCTCTAAATACTTACCTGTAAAATTCATTTCTTGGAGTACATCACGGGACACAGAGCAGGCCATAATAACAACTATGTGGGTTATATGCCACCTCTAGGTGAATGCACACTGGCCACCCAATCAAATAGGAAGTCCTCCCCCATATAACCCCTCCTACACAGAAAGTACTCAGTTTTTGTAGCAAGCAGTGAAAATTCAGAAAGAGGGGAGGGATCTCTATGTATAACAACTATGTAAGACATCCCAAAGCAATAACCTTGAGGGGTGGGTGACATCACAAGAACATTCCAAAAAGGAGCAATTCAGCTGTTTGTAAAACACTGCAGCCAAAGACAGAATTCTCCGTGGCTCTGACATCCAGCTGGTGAAACCTTGAGTATGTATGAACCAAAGATCATGTAGCAGCCTTGCAAACCTGAGCAACTGATGCCTGGTGGCGGATAGCCCAAGATGCCCCCAAACACCTGGAAGAGTGTGCTTTCACCCAAAAGAGTAGAACCTTGCTCTTCAAACCATAGGCTTCAATGATTAACTGAAAAATCCACTTAGAAATAGTTGATTTGGATGCCGTCTGTCCTCCCCTGGGACCTTCCAGCAAAATAAACAAGGGACCACCCTTTCTAATCTGCATTCCCAAAATCCTTTATTGCCCGAACCTCATCCAGGGCATGCAAAATCTCTCTTTTGCCGACTGAGGCCTAGGATAGAATGAAGGCAGAACAATGTCCTGATTGAAATGAAAAACTAGAAACCACCTTTTGCAAAAAGGACGGATGAGGTCGTAACACCACCTTATCCCTGATGCAAAACCAAAAATGGAACTGCCAACTCCGATACTCCGATACCCTCCTTGGAGAGGCGATTGCCACCAAAAACAAAACCTTTCGATTCTGCAGATCTAACGGAATCTCCCTGATAGTTTCAAATGGTGGTTTATGTAAAACTGTCAGGACCAAGTTCAAGTCTCAAGGACAAAAGGGGCTGTCTGACAGGAGGAACAGTACGTATCACTCCCGGTAAAAAAAGTACAAAGCAAACAGTGAGAAGCAGTCGGTCTTTGGATGAAAATAGCCAAGGCTGAAACCTTAATAGTACCAACAGCCAACTTATTTTCTACTCCTAATAGATCAGTAGCCAACAGTGTCTATTAAAGACCACTCAAAGACACCATTGCACTAACATCATAGCGCCTATATAGACCATAGACATCACAATTGGGTGCTGCTATTAATAATACACTGTAAAATGATAAAGAAATGTTGTGATACACCAAATAACCACAAATAATAGCGCAACCCTAAACCAAAATAAAAAAATATATAATAGAAAATTATATATAAACTATATTCATAATACATCCACCACCATATGTGTGCAATAAATTAATCAGTGCAAAAAAAATCATATATAGGAAGTCCGCATATAAACCCATTCAGAAAAGTCCATATATTGTTGAATAGGATCCTCAATAAATGAAGTAATGAGATCCTCCTTCACCAATGTGATATACAGTGCACCAAACACCCCATCAAACTGCACACTCACCATAAACTGGTGATAAACCAGCATATCTTTAAATATCCAGCATTCCACCACTGTACTCCAGCTTAGAGAAATCCTCACATTTCCAAATAGCACATGTGAACAAAAAGAATACTCGCCATAGTGCAATATCATCCAGCAAATTTATTCAGATAACAAACCCCCCTATAAAACCGCACTCACGAGTTTGAAAATACACAGCATTTGTTAACAATCAGAGCCACATGCTCTCTCTCCAGCGTCTCACCAGCCTGCCTGCAACCAAGATGGCGATGGTGCAATCACGTGGTCCGGACACGTGAGTCAGCGTGTGTGGTGACTTCACCGGCTAGCCATGCCCTAACGCGTTTCGTCATAAGACTTCTTCCGAGTCCCTCCAGCTCTTGGTACCGCCTTGGTGGATGATGTATGCCACTGCTGTAGCATTGTTGGACTGGACCCTGACTGGCCAACTTTGAAGCCTGATAGTCCAATATCTCAGGGTAAGCCGCACCACCCGAAGCTCCAGGATATTGATGGGAAAGATTATCCTGCGGCTACCACGTCCCCTGGGAGTGTGGTCCCCTCTAGGACAGCCCCCCCAACCCGAGAGGCTGGCATTGGTTATCAGCTTCCAAATCACTGGTGGGAAAGATTTTTCCTTTTCCAAATTCCGAGCTTCCAACCACCTATTCAAGCTTTGCAGCACCCAGGGGACTAAGGCATGCGGTAACCCAACACTGGAATCCTTTTGTTCCATGCCGACAGAATGTTCCTCTGCAAAGGCCTTGAGTGGAACTGCCCATAGGGCACTGCCTCGAATGAGGATACCATCTTCCCGATTAACCTCATGCAGTGACGAATGGAAGGATACTTCCTGCTCCTCAAACTCCAAACCTGACCTCTCAGGGCACGGCCCTTTCCTGGTGGCAGAAACACCTTTCCCTGAACAGTGTCCAGGACCAATCCCAAATACTCCAGAATCTGTCCTGGCTCCAGGGCCAACTTCTCAAAGTTGAGCACCCAGCCCAAATGTTCCAGAGTATGAATCGCAAGGGCCACAATTTTTTTTGGACTAGGCTTAGACTAGGCTGACCCCTCAGCAGTAGATCGACCAGATAGCCCAAAATCTATATTCCCCAAGTTCTGAGCAGCCCCAGAACTAGAGCCAGAATCTTTGTAAGCACTCAAGGAGCCATGGCTAGCCCAAATGGTAATACCATGAACTAAAAATGTCAAGTTTCTATCAGAAACCGCAGAAACCTTTCATGAGCAAGAAATATTGGCACATCCAGGTCTGCCTCACTGATGTCTATGGAAGCTAGAAAGTCTCCCTCTTGTATAGATGCAACTACTGACCAGACTGACTCCATCCAAAATGAACAAATCTTTAGGAACCAGTTCAGCCTTTAAGACTAGAATAGCCCTTGCATCCCCAGTCGGCTTTGGAACTGTGAATAGGTTTGAATAAAATCCCTGGAACCTTTCGTCCGCTGGAACCTCCACAATTCGTGGACACATTGGACCTTAAGAAATGAGGAGGAGGAATCCCCTGAAACTCCAGTTTGTACAGGAAGATGAAAGAAAGAGCGCACAAACCTTGCGCATTACCTCAATAAATAGTGACTAATTTTATTAATAAGGAAATATACTCACAAAATGATTGTATAACAGGCATAGGTAACCATAATCCAAACAGGGTTACAGGTAAATCGAAAAGGGGGGGGGGGGGATGAAACTAGCGCGTTTCGAAGGGTGCTCCCTTCTTCATCAGAGCTGGGTTTGGCAGATAGAAACTTCAGTATGGCAGAGTTCCCATAGCGAGGAGACATTCAGCCACTGAGTGTCAGTATTACAGCAGTTCAGCCTGTTTAGTGTGACACCAGTTTGTACCCCTGAGCAACTGTAGCAGTGACCCACTTGTCCTGGATCAGTTCTTCCCAGATCTCTGAAAAAAAACAAAAGTCTTTCCCCCTACCTGCATGAGTGGGGGCACCCATGCATAATGAAGCAGACTTACAATCTGGCCTGGCGGGCTTCTTCACACAGGGTTTCTTCTGGCTCTGGCATTGAAATTTTCCCATAGACAAAGACCTCTGGGTACGGCAAATTGCTTGCCTAACGGAAGAAGCACCAACCACCAAAGTGTCTGGCCCCTTAAAGGTCACGCGATTGGATTTTCTCTTAAAGGGTAAAAGCGTACTTTTCCACCCTGAGATTTTCTGGATATACTTGTCTAGGTCCTCCCCAAACAAACATTCCCCATGAAAGGGGAAACCCGCCAACAATCTTTTGCAC